AGAGCACTGAGCAGGCGGGAACAGACCAGCAGCTGCTCTTGGCCATTGTTGGCTCTGTGTCCGTCACTTGCTTCACCATCCTCTTTGCTCTCCTGGCACTTTTCCTCATCAAGAAGAATTTTTTCCACCGGCGCCGCACCTTTACGTACCAGTCTGGCTCGGTGAGTGCCGCCTGCCCCACCAGGACCGTGACCCCTGCTCCCCACGTCCCAGCCCGATCCAGGTCACGTTCCATAGCCTCCAGTCCGGATGCAGCCAGACCTCACTGCCACACGGAGAGGGTGCGGAGCCCACCCTTGCCCATGACTCCTGTCCTGCTGGGACTGCCGCATGGGCAGAGAGGTGCCCGGTGCCTCTAACCTCACCCGCTTCCATCTGCCAGGGGGAAGAGACCATCCTACAGTTCAACTCGGGGACCCTGACCCTGACACGCCGGCCCAAGCCGCAGCCTGAGCCCCTCAGCTACCCCATCCTGGAGTGGGAAGACATCAAGTTTGAGGACATGATTGGGGAGGGCAATTTTGGGCAGGTAATCAGGGCCATGATAAAAAAGGACGGCCTGAAAATGAATGCAGCCATCAAGATGCTGAAAGGTGAGTGTTGGGAGAGGCAGACAGGGTGGGCTGACTGCTGCAGCTGTGTCCTGGGCCATGCTTGTGTTGGGGAGCATCAGAAGTCATTTGCAGAGAAGCAGAGGAAAGGCCCCTGTTGTAGGCCTGAGGTGTTCATCCCTTCTTTGCTTACAGAGTTTGCTTCAGAGAATGACCATCGGGACTTTGCCGGGGAGCTGGAGGTGCTGTGCAAACTGGGCCATCACCCCAACATCATCAACTTGCTGGGTGCCTGTGAGAACAAGGGTGAGGGCTGTCCCATTCTACCCTGCCCCACAACCTCTGCCCAGCTGTCTATTCCTTTTTGCTGGGGAGAGCCCCAGTAGCCCAACCTTGTCCTGCCCCGCAGGCTACCTGTACATTGCCATTGAGTATGCTCCGTATGGAAACCTCCTCGACTTCCTCCGCAAAAGCCGAGTCTTGGAGACAGACCCAGCCTTTGCCAAGGAGCACGGCACTGCCTCCACCCTCACATCCCAGCAGCTCCTCCAGTTTGCTTCCGATGTGGCCAAGGGGATGCAGTACCTGAGTGAGAAGCAGGTACATCCCAGCAAGCCCCTCAGATCACCCTCTCTGTGAGGCCTGTGAGTTCCCCATCGAGGCATGTGGTCCCTGATGCCAGCAGGAGGGAGCGTGTAGCTCCTGCTAACTGCTCTTCCCTTTCAGTTCATTCACAGGGACCTGGCAGCAAGAAACATTCTGGTGGGAGAAAACCTGGCCTCCAAAATTGCTGACTTTGGCCTCTCCAGAGGGGAGGAGGTCTATGTGAAGAAGACAATGGTGAGCCAGGAGTGAAACATCTCCATGGGGCCTGCACCAGTGTGGTGGGCAGGATGCCCACCATCAGTGTGACCAACCTACCGTGGCAGGACTGGCTGGATCACAGCTGTCTTCCACCCAGGAGGCACCCCTCCAGCTCTGATGGTGGCTCTCTCTTTCCCCAGGGCCGTTTGCCAGTTCGCTGGATGGCCATCGAGTCCCTCAACTACAGCGTGTACACCACCAAGAGTGATGTGTAAGTGCTGCAGGCAGGGGCACTGGGCTGGGGCATGGCTGTGGCCACCTCCACTCCTCTCTGGTGCAGTCAGAGAGGCAATGCTATTGCTCTGGGTGCTGCAAGGGCAGGAGGTGATGCTGGTGCATCTCCCTGAGGAGCTGCTGACTCAACCCTGGCTGCCTGTTCCACCCTGTGCTTTGCCCTGTGTCCAACAGTGGGGCACAGCTGGGCACTCTGTCACAGCCTCCTTTCCTCCCCTTTCAGGTGGTCATTTGGTGTCCTGCTCTGGGAGATTGTCAGCTTGGGTAAGGCTCTTCCCTGTCCCCTGCCTTCACTCAGATCCCTGTAGGTCTGGTTATCCTGGGGTCCTCGGGGGAACACCCTAGGGACTGTCACCTCCTCAGCCCCTGAGTGTCTCTGTCTGTAGGGGGGACACCATACTGCGGGATGACGTGTGCCGAGCTCTATGAGAAGCTGCCCCAGGGATACCGCATGGAGAAGCCGCGTAACTGCGACGACGAGGTGTAAGTGACAGAGCCTCGGCTGGTGGTGGCACCCACAGGGCTCGCACCAACTTTCAGCAGCTTCTGCCTGGTTGCCTCTCCATTGTGGCGGAGGGATGGGCTGGGGTCCCACACCCAAACACCTTTCCTGGGCTTTAGTTTCCTGCCTGCTTCCCTGTCTCCCACAAGGAGCTTTTCTGTCCCCTCTCCTCCTGTGTGCACTGAGCCGCCACGACTCTCCGCCCCCAGGTACGAGCTGATGCGGCAGTGCTGGCGTGACCGCCCCTACGAGCGCCCGCCCTTCGCCCAGATCTCCATGCAGCTCATCCGCATGCTGGAGGCCAGGAAGGTGAGTGGTAGCGGCTCAGTGGGAGGGATGTCCACAGGGCACGGGGCTTTTCCACGTGCTGGGACATCCCTTGGCCTCGAGGACCAGCCAGCAGCAGAACCATGTGTGGGGGTTAATCCCACCATCACTTTTTGGGTGCAGGGAGACAACAGTGCCTGTGAGCATGCTAGCGGGGACGGGAGGTAGATGTGGACATGCTCACAACTGGCTCCTAACTGGGGTTCCCCCACAGGCCTACGTGAACATGGCCCTGTTCGAGAACTTCACCTACGCGGGGATTGATGCCACCGCCGAGGAGGCGTGAGGCTGCGCTGGCTCCGCTCAGAGGGGCAGCGCTGGCCCCAGCCTGCTGGAACAGTGCTGTGGGGACAAGGAGCTGCTCACCCGCTCCAGGGCCAAGCAGACAAATGGCAGTGCCCTCTCCCAAGAACACCTTCCCTGAAGCAGGACTGTGTCCTCCCCTCCCTGGCATGGTGCCAGCCACTAACAGCCCCACACTGTTGGGACACGCTGGGGTAGCCTCCAAGGACAAGCAGCAGCAGGGTGCTGGCAGAAGGGCAGGCAGGAGAGGGTCTCCCTCAGGAGCCAGGGTACTGCCTAAGCCCACGGACACACATGCTCAAGCTTTGGGGTGAGAGGAGGAAGCAGCAACACAGCTGCAGCCCTCAGCATGCTCTGGAGTGGTGCTAGGGGTTGTGAGCAGCGCTGCTGGCATGGCATGGGGCCACCCTGCAGGTGCAGAAGGACAGTGTTGGCTGTGCACAGCCTCCAGCTCTGCAGTGGCCCTTCAGAGATGTCAGCTCTGCCTTATGGACAATAAAGATCACGCCACAGCTGGGTCCAGAGGAGTGTTGGTGGGGACCCACCTCTGCCCTGCTGACAACACTGGGGAACAGCATGTGGGGGCCCAGTGATCTGCTGCTGTGGTGGGCACTCCTCAGAATCCTGTTCCCACTGGGGTCCTGTGATAATCCCCAGGAATGTCCCAGCATTCCCAGGCAAGTCCTGGGTCTCATCATGGCATGGAGATGGGTTCTCTTAGGATCCTACAGGGATCTTCTCCCACACACACAATTTAAGACTTGGTCTTGTCCCCAAAGGGATATGGAGAACAGACTATGTCCTTCCTATGCCCGGCTGCCTCTTGCATGCTTAAAAATTGTTCCTGCAGCTTCCCCTCAGCTGGCTGGTCTTTTAAATGGATGGCCCTGTTCCTCCAGCTGGGTCCTGTGGAGCTGTGCAACTCCACATCCTTCCAACCCTGGCCAGCTGGCACCTCTCAGCACTGTGCCAAGCCATCAGGTAACTTCCCACATCTGGCAGAGTGATGGCTGTGTTTGCCCAGCCTGCTCGAACGTGTGCTGCCAGGGTGAGCCTCACGTGCCCGTCCCTCAAGGGTCACCTGGGCTCTGCACTGACCCTCCTGGAGGAGCTCCTGTCCCAGGCTTTGGTCCTTCACCTGCACTGCTGCTGTTTGCTACCCTGAGAGTGCTTGGGCTTCCCCTCTGCTGGCTTCAGCTTGCTCAGCCCTGGACATGCTATCCAGCTGTCTATCTATCCGTCTTCTGCAGTCCCACGAGAAGGAAGAATGGCTCCTGCAGAGCCTGGTATCCCTGTAGGAGACAGGGACATTTGCATTGTCCTTCTGGGCAAGTGTCTTTTATCTCTGAACCGTGTCAATACCATTCTGATTTTCCATTCTGGCCTCCTGTGCTCTTTGGTGTCAACTGCAGCTGTTAGTGAGCAGCCGCTCTGCCCCATCCCTGAGGTCCCCAGCGAATCAGTGATGGGGACTGGCCCTCACAAACAGCCTGACACGTGCCACTGCTTCTGCACCCCCTCTGCTCCCAGCTGGGAACAGTGTCTGGGGCGGTGTCACCAGTCCTGCTCACACCTAGGTCTTTCTGCTTTTTTTGACAAAATTTGTCTGTGGCAAGTTGGGGCTGGCACTGCTCTCCCCTCAGTGCCTCTAGTGCTGTCCTCAGCTGCTGAACTTGAAGAAGCAAACCTGGCCTTGGTGCACAGGGGATACATGAGCACGTGGCTCCTTGTGTCCTGGCTGGTGCCCCCCGGGCTGTGCAATAGTGCTGTGTCCTGGCAGGGTGGGAGACCCTCCAGCACCAGAACCAGGACTAGCATGAGGTTGAGCATGACTGTGGGACCTCACTGTGCTCCTGCACCTCTGAGGGCTTTGCCCCCTGTGCCTGCAGCTCTGCTCCCAGCACAGCCACAGGGAGCGTGCTGCTGGCAGAGCAGACCTGGAGTACTCTGGTGCCGAGCGGCACAGGACACAATGGAGGCAGATCAGCTGTGCCATATCCCATGCTCCCATGTGGCAGCAGTCCCAACAGCCTGCCCTGCCCCACACCAGGGCCTCCCTAGTTTGTCGGGGGTTGTTTTTCTTCCTACCCCATCCTCCCAGCATGCCAGTAGCCACAAGGGCAGGACATGCCGCCTATCTGATAGGAGCAGTCTCTCTTGGCACTGCGGCCAGCAGCAGAGGGGCTGTGGCATTGTGGTTTCAGGCACAGGGAAGTGCTGGTGATGGGGCGGGGGGAGCCCCCAGCCAGGCTTCCTGAGCTGCACAGCCACCACTTCCCAGATAAAGGTATCGCCTGGAGGAGCCGCAGCAGCTCCCGGGACACTGGGAAGGGACAAGTGCGGCACGTGTGGCTCCGGCACACAGGTTGCAGGATGGCAGCCTGCCTGTGCCAGGGCTGGCAGCTCTCACTGCTCCCTGCCATCCTGCTCAGCCTCCGCAGCCCACCGTCAGCCCCTGAGCCAGTGACATCCCAAGGTAGGTCCTTGGGGCTATTTTCTCCCCCAAAGGATGGGCCAGAGAGGAGCTAGAATGCCAGGTGTGGGCAGCGAGCACCTCACAGCAGCCAAAATCTATGGGATTGGGAAAGAGGCATTCCAGGAGGGTGTGCAGGGAGTATTCAGGGGGAGTAATGGAGTGCACTTCTCACCTGTGGGACACCCTGAATTGCTTGCAGTAAAGGAACATCCATGCTCTCTGCAAGCAGCGCTTGGCTGCCCATGGGTTCCCCCTGAGGATAGCAGCCTGGTGCTCCCAGTCCTGCTCAGGTAGCAGAGGGGCTCCTCACTCATCAGAAGTTCTCAGTTATGACATGATGAGGGTTTGAACAAGACTCAAGTTAACATCTAATGGCACAGCTCTGCACCACAGGCAATGCAGTGGCACTTCCAGGCTAACCCCAGTGCTCCTGCACCAGCCTTGCCATGATCTTACTGTCCTGCTGGACATCCTCATCTTAGCTGATAGCTGGCCCCAGTCTGGCTCACTGCACCTGCCAGAGCCACTCCCCAACTTTGTCTCATTTCAGGCTTCTCCATGCATTCTTTAAGCATCTCTTTAGCCCCTTTAGAATTTTCTGTAACACTTTCTGTAACTGAATAAAACCCTGTTGATCTCCTGCTTGTTTCTCCAGCCCCACCCCAGGTCTCTGACCAAGACAGACTTTGGAGCACATTTTGAGTCACCCCCTTAGGGGCAGTGGGACGAGGGTCGGGGTTGGACTCTGCCCACAGCCTCTGCAAAATCCTTGTCTCCTCAAAATGCCTTGAGTCCTCCGCTGGCTTGGCAGCACTGCCCAAGCATGGCTGGTGTGGGCTGCAGAGCTGGGAAGCTGCCCTTCCTAAGAAATTGTCTGCGCTCAGCAAAGATGCTCTGATAGCCCACAGGACCAGGGTGGCCTCCCAGTGATGCCATGGGTCATGTGCCACCGAGCTGCTGGGGCCTGGCCACTTAATCTCCTGGTGCTCCTCATGGAGCCAGCCTGAGGCCTGGGGTGGGGTCATGGGGGGCAAAAAGAGAAGGACAGGTGCGAGGGCTGTAGAGAGATGGGACAATGGGCATGGGAAAGAAGGCAACACAGGACTGGGAAATGAGGAACAGGGCTGAGGCGGTCAGGGCAAGAGAAGGGACAGAGTGAGAAGGTGGCAAGAATACTTAGAAACTTTTTCTTTGCCCAGGGTGGGCTCAACTGCCAGTGCAGGGGTATGTAGCAGAGAATGGATGCACTCGACAAATGCAGCAGACATTGGCAGTGGGCTTGTGGGGTCCCAAAGCTGGGGCAACCCCTGGGGAAGGCAGCAAATGCCAGTAGGAAGAGGAGGAGGAAGAGGGCTGGAGCAGGTCAGAGGGCAGAGGGAGTGGGGGGCGAAGGGACTTCTGAAGCAATGCTGGGGACACCAAGACCACCGCTGTGCATCACACATATGCATCTTGGGGCTGTCCCCTCTTCCACGATAACAGGGGCTGACACCCTTATGTCAGCAGAGTTACCAGTGCTTCGGATAGAGATCCTGCAGGGTGTGATGCTCCAGTTTGTCCATGTAATGACAGGGAGCACGGCTTACCGAGGGGGACAGACTGCCCCCAGGGCAGTCCCTGGGCAGGGGTTTGGGCATCCCCCCTGCTCAGGACCACATGCCCCCACACCAGCCCCCAGGCCCTTTCCCTTTCTCTGGGGTGCTGCTCCTCCTTATCTCACTTCCGCGCACCTTCCGGCACGAGCAGGGCAGGGGTTCTTCCCCCTGATCGCTGGGCCCTGAGCTCCCCTCTGACCGCAGGGCTATTTTGGGATGTTTGTTTGTCCTCAAGGACCTCGTGTACTGAGGAGGGGGCGTGGTGGGGCCGGGGGGAGCCCTGCACCAGCCAGGATCCCAGTGCAAGCCAGCAGCCAGCATGGGTGCCATGTCCCTCCCCAGTGTGCCAAGCTGGTGGAGAGCACCTGTGCCACAGCCATGCTCAGGCTGTCCCGCACGCCTGAGGTGGAAGCAGGTGAGATGGGGATGGGTTTGTGCCCAGGAGTTCCTTCATGGCCACACTCCTCCCAGACGCTGCACTGCTAGCAGGCGTGTCCGAGGACATCCTCTGTTTCTCCCGCTCCTTCGAGGACCTCACCTGCTTCTGGGACGAGGAGGAGACAACAACTGGGATGTGCCACTTCTACTACTGGTACTACAGGTAGGAGATGATGGGGACACAGCCCAGCCTCCTCCTTGCTGCACAGAGAGCTGCAGTGTCAGGGTGTCGCAGCAATCTGGGCCATCCCAGTGGCTCCAAGCTGCAAGGAGTGATGGAGGACTCACAGAAGATATACAGCAGCCACTGCACACCCTGCAGCAGAGCTGGGGCCTTGGCTGTCCCTCAGTCCCATGGGGATGGTGCCCTGCAGTGGATTATGGCACAGCAAAGGAGCTGGTGACACCAAGGTCTCAGTGCTGTGCCCCACATTGCCTCTCCTCAAGCTTGACCCAAGGCAGGAGGTGTGAGGTGCCGCAAGACCCCGCTCTCCATTCCTCAGGGATGCACCCACAGCGTGCGTGCTCTCCACATGGCACCATGGGGCTGGCGGGAAGCGACATGTCTGCGTCTTCCCCAGCCAGGACGTGCGGCTCTTCACCCAGCTCCACCTCCGCGTCCTGGATGCCACCACAAACCACACCAAGTATTGGCGGGAGCTCAGTGTGGAGGCAGTGGGTGAGTCCCTTTCACTGGGCAATGTCCTGTGACAACAGAATGGCTCCCAGATCTGGGTCCCCTGACCTTCTGCCTGCCACGGGGGCTGGCAACACCTTGAGCCCTGCATGCACAGAGGCAGCCTGGGGGAAGACTTCCATGTGTTCCGCAGCAGGACCAGGCACTGCCCAGACTGGGGCTGCTGCAGGAGGACAAACACCCTGGCATGTTCTCTGCAGGTCTCATTGCTCCCCCAGTGAACATCACGGCCCGCTGGGCTGGGACTGTGGGGCAGCTCTGCGTGTCGTGGCAGCCACCACTCGCTGACTTCCCGAACTTCTTCCTGTACGAGGTGCAGTGCTGCCCTGCCAACTCCACAGGGATGCCCTGCAGCACCACACTGAACCCCAGTGAGCAGCACCCTGGGGACCCCTCCACTCAGTCAACCGTCAGCACCCACACACCTAGGGCAGCCTCCCCGGCACTGGGGCAGGTACATAGGGGGGTCAGGGATGGGCAGGGGGTGTGGGGCCTGCAGTTGCTCCTCAGCTTGGCCCCTCTCCTACAGAGGCTGGTCCAGGCCAACACTTGGGTGGTGCTCCAGGACCTGCAGCCAGGGGTGAGGTACCACATCCAGGTGCGCAGCAAGCCTGACGGTACCTCCATGGACGGCGTCTGGGGGCCCTGGTCACAGGCAGTGGCAGCTGAGACACCCCACTCCTCTGGTGAGCAGCCACCCCCTCCGCAGGGGTGCTGGCAGGAACAGCAGGGAGGCACCCACGCCGGGGACTGCAGGGGGTGGGGTCCTGTTGTAGGCAAGGTGCAACTCCCAAGTTTTGGGGGGCCAAGGGGAAGCAGCCCCCTTCCTGCCCTGGCTCTCCCCTGCCCAGGAGACATCGGGCTGTGCTGCAGCACCCCAGACCTGCTGCACGTGCACTGCGAGTGGAGCTGGGACCCTGCAGAGCCCCACAGCTCCCACCAGCTCTTCTACCGGCCACCTCCAAGCGGGGCTGGCACAAGGTAAGGGCATGGCAGGCATATGGCATTCAGGCAGGCACATCCCAGGGACCACTGGTCTGCTGTGGCCAATATCCCACACTGGGCTCCTTGCCCATGCCCTGCTCTGTCCTGGCCTGCCACCACCAATCTCATACCTCCTCACCACCTCTCCTGGCCACATTGCACCTCTGACTACAAGCAGCAGTAGCTTTCCTGGGTAAGTGCAGGAGCAATGCTGGCTGTGGGTATGCATTGGTGGGACTGACTGGCTCCCACTCCACCCACAGGGAAGATGCATGGCAACAGTGCGAGGAGGTGAGCAGGGGGGCACAGGGCACCCATGCCTGCACCTTCCAGCCCAAGGCTGGCAGTGCCATCTCCATCTTGGTGAATGTCACCCGGACCCACTTGCTGCCCCCACTCAGCTACTTCAAGGAGCCCTTTTGGCTGCACCAGGCTGGTGAGTCCCAGTGCCACCACAGCCCCTGCCTGGTTCACAGGGGACACAGTGTCCCATGTCCCGTTTCACAGGAGCGACACATGCCTGTCCCCAACACCAACAGTGCTCACAGATGCCCCACAGCTTGTGCAGGCAACAGTGTCGCAAGGCCGGCTGAGCCTGCAGTGGCTGCCGCCTCTGGAGCTGCTGGCAGAGCAGCTGGACTACCAGGTCCGCTATGCCATGGAGAACAGCCATGACTGGAAGGTAAGGCCTGGCCAGGGTACCCCGAGCAGCTGCTTGCTCCACTGCTGACACACGGCAAGCACGGGGTCAGGCAAACGGGGACCCAGCCCTTGGTGCCGCCCCACAGCCACCATGCCTCCAGCTCGCCTCTGCCCCGCAGGTCCTGCAGGTTCCACGAGCAGCTAGGAAAGAAGTCCTGGACCTGCGGCCGGGGTCCCGCTACCACGCCCAGGTGCGGGCCCAGCCCAGCGGGCCGTGGTACCAGGGCAGCTGGAGCGCCTGGTCCAAACCTGTTGTGGTTGATGCCGTGGCTGATGCGGGTAAGGGACAGGGCTGGAGGCTGCGGCCAGAGGAGCCCCACGGCTGACGGCAGGACACGGAGAGTGCTGGAAACGGGGTGGGAAGCACCGGGCAGGGTGCTGCGAAGGGCTCAGGTGGTGGGTCTGGGAAGGGCTACAGTTCCAGCGTTCCTTCCCCGATGCAGGCTGGCTCATCCCCAGCGTTACGGTGGTGCCGCTGCTCTTCTCCGCAGTGCTCCTGGGGCTGCGGTGCACCTTCCCCTCCCTCTACAGGTAAAAGGCTGTGCCGGGGACAGGCGGGGCTCCAGCACCAAGCCTGGGCACCTTGCACGGGACATTAGGGCACCCCAAGTCTGAGGGTACCTTCAGTGCCCCTTCCTCCGTACCCAGCAACGTGAAGCAGAAACTCTGGCCGCCCGTTCCTGACCTGCACCGTGCTCTGGGCAGCTTCCTCCAGGAAAGCAGCAAGCACGGCCAGGTGAGGGGGTAGGACGGGGCGGCTCAGCTGCCCCTGGGGACAGCTGGAAGGGCAGCCCCCACCGCGTGCACTCCGTGTCACCCCAGGCCAGCGCCTTCGACAAGCAGCCGCCGGAGGAGGCCGTCCTGCCCTGCCTGCTGGAGGTGCTGCCCGGGCCGCGGCGCGAGGCGGGCCCGCCGACGGAGCACGCTGGGGGCCGCCTGTCCAGCACCGACATCGCCAACCAGTCCTACCTGCTCATGAGCGGCTGGGAGCCGCGGGCAGCCCCGAACGCGCCCACCCCGCCATAAACTCTCGTCCCTCCCCAAGCACCCGCCTGGTCCCTCCTTCGCCGCCCCGCCCCCGGCCCGGAGCGCCCCGCCCCCGATCCCACCCCTTAAACTGCACTCGCGGAGCGCCCCGCCTCTCCCCGCGGCTCAGCCAATCGCACTGCGTCGCTCGGCCGTCGCCTGGCAGCGCGCGGCCGTTGGGTTTGAAGCGGCCAACCGGAGCCCCGTCCGCGCGGCGTTTAAAATGCTGCGGCACAGGCGGGACGGGCGAGCGGTGGCGGCGCGGCGGAGGTGAGCGTGCGATAGGGCCCGGGAGGCAGCTCTGAGGCGCAGTCTCGAGCGGGGAGGCTGTGGTGAGGCGGATGAGGGGAAGGGAGAATGTCGCTTATCGGAGGGTGCCCCAAAGAGCCTCTGGAAGGGGTGTCGGCCGATAGAAAGGACCCCCGAGGAGCGGAGGGGAGGGTGCGTCGGCTGATGGAAAGTGTCCCGAGGAGCGGTTGGGCAGAGTGGGGGTGTCCGGTGCTGGGGAGGAGCGGCCGGAGGGTTTGGAAGGTCCGGTGGTGGGGAGGCCGGCGGGGCCTGTCGGAGCAGGCTGCAGCCCGGCCGGTGGGCACGGCTAACGCCGCCCGCCCGCAGGACCATGGCGCAGTTCCTGTTCGAGGCGGACCTGCACGGGCTGCTGAAGCTGGACACGCCGATCCCGAACGCGCCGCCTGCGCGATGGCAGCGCAAGGCCAAGGAGAGCGGCCCCGGGCCCAGCCCCGTCGGCGTGTCGCCCATGAAGCCGGCCAATCGCTCCCACAGCTCCAGCAAGACGCCGTCCAAGACACCCGGTGAGCGCCGGCCAACAGCGGCAGAGCCTGGGTGCGGGAGCCGCGCGCAGGCTGCTTGTCTGGAGCCATGGCGCTCTGGGCTCCCTGCCACGCTGCCCTGGCGGCTCGCTGGGCAGGCAGGAGGAGGTGGGCTGTGCTCCTGACAATCACTCGCTTCCTTCCCAGCATGAGGGGCAGAGCTCTGAGCACTGGGGCTGGCGAACTGCTGATGGCCCAGCTGAGCCTTGCTGGCACAGCTGCATGCTGGGACAAGTGTGGGCGGGACTGTCAGCTGGCAGCTTTGCATCCTGTAGCAGTGTTTTTGTATCCTCTCCTTATCTCTGGACTCTGGAATTGTTGCATTAGACCCAAGGTGTTGCTCCAGACAGTCCCTAACCGGAGCTTGGTGGCAGGGGGGAAAATATAAGTTAGTTGTGACTGGGCGGCATGAGATCGCAGAGTCCTTGTCTGGTGGGTGTGATGTGGAAGTGTGCTGGGTTTGCTCTCGTGAAAGCTCTAATACAGGCTACTAAATAGCTGTAAGACAATATTTTCGTATGCAAATGCAGGTAAATCTGGATCCAAAATTCAAAGCACCCCCACAAAGGCTGGGGGGGATCGCTATATTCCCAACCGCAGTACTATGCAGATGGAGATGGCAAATTTCCTCCTAACCAAAGAGAATGACCCTGCTGAGGAATCCCCTACCAAGAAGGTGAGCATGTTGCTAAGTTACAATTACTTCAACAACCACTAATCCTTCCTGCCCCTTTACAGAGGAGTAAACTGTAGGCTCTACCGAGTAGACACACAGGACTGACAAGCCCCAGCCATTGCTACTTGCAACTCTGGGCTTCAGGAGCCTAGGATGAGATTGAAGCTGTAGAGACTGCCATGCACTCTAGCCTATGCTGCTTCTGGTAGCAAAATTTACCTTTTGACTAATGAGGCTTTAAAATATAGCAGGCAACAAAAAAAGCTGTGATCCTGTGCAAAGTGAAACTGCCGGTGGTAGCTATTCTAGGACAATGTCTACACAGGGAACACTTCTGGAATGTTTTACACGGTGTTCTGAAATCTGTTTATGAAGCATTTGGACGCTTGTGGCTGTGGCTTTTCCCACTGGTAATGACCCTGAATTTGCTATTGTATGAAAATGTGAACAGGACCATGTGTGAAAGTCTGAGGAAAAACTGCTTTGACCTGCCCCTATGTGTGGCTGACCCTGGAAGCACAGTTTATGTGAACAGGACCATGTGTGAAAGTCTGAGGAAAAACTGCTTTGACCTGCCTATGTGTGGCTGACCCTGGAAGGACAGTTGAACTCCTGATTCTAAGAGATGGGAACTTAGGTGTCTGTTTAAATTGCAGTATGGGAGTTGTTTTAAATTCATTGCACTGAGGGTGATTTGTCTCCATAGGAGCAACAGAAAGCCTGGGCAGTGAATCTGAATGGTTTTGATGTAGAAGAGGCAAAGATCCTCCGCCTCAGTGGAAAACCACAGAATGCTCCAGAAGGTATGATACAGGGTCTGTGTGAGCTGAATCAGTAGGGGAGATCTGGCCAGGGGAACAGCAACACAGAGGCTCTGTGTGTGGCCACAGGAGAAATCAACTGGTTTCTGAGAGCTGTACAGGCTGGAGTTTCCTTTCTTAAGGTTCCTGAGGCTGAGGGAGGGCATAACAGTGAATCTGTTTAGGAAAGTTGCTATGACTGCTAGTTGCTCACCTGTACTGCAGGTTGCAAACCTTCGTGAAGTCTGTAAGAGCATCAAACTCTCTGCTGGGCACTTTCTACCTTAAACTGTAACTAAACATAATGGGATACAAAAACCCAAGTGTTTGTTAAGTTTGTTTCCATGAATAAGGAAATTGCAGCTCACCCCTGTACAGCAGTTCATACTGCCAGTGATTTTAGCACACTGCAGTCTTGTGAGTGCTTCTCTTGGGACTTTATTTTCACTCCAAAGGATTCCTAGTTGGGTGAGCAGCACTCAGCTGGGAGGAAACTAACTCAGGTTAACAAACCCGTTCCTCTGCACACAGGCTATCAGAACAACCTGAAAGTGCTCTACAGTCAGAAAATGACGCCTGGATCCAGCAGGAAGAATAGCAGATATATTCCCTCAATGCCAGACCGGATCTTGGATGCACCAGAGATCCGCAATGACTACTGTAAGTAGGCTGCAGAGTTGAGTGCTGAGCATCCAGAACATTCTGCACTGGAGTGCTATTCCTAGGACAGTGTAACTGGGCTGTTTGTATTATTTTATGTACCCAGGCTAGTACAGACCACTTCTGGAGTGTCCCTGTGAGGCCTTACAAGGAACAGTGGTGTAGGGCACTGTGTATATGACTTGGAGCAGGGTACCTGACCCCACCAGCTGGGCATAGTGACACTCAGGAGGCTGCCCCTCGCCTGTACATGTGTGCGTGCACATGTGCACACACACAGCTGCTGCATCAGCACAGGTGAAGGGCAGGGCTCTCTGGGTAAGCATTGTGTGACCTGCCTTGCTCTTTCAAATTGTAGATCTGAATCTCATAGACTGGAGCTCCCAGAACTTCCTGGCAGTGGCTCTGGACAACTCTGTTTATCTGTGGAATCACACTTCTGGGGAGATTATCCAGCTGCTGCAGATGGAGCAACCAGATGTTTACATTTCCTCTGTGTCATGGATTAAAGAAGGAAACTACCTTGCTGTTGGCACAAGTAGTGCTGAGGTCCAGGTGAATGCAGGAGAAAAACTAGAGGTGTTTTCTAGGGATTGACATAACTGGGACCTGGGGACAAAACCTTGACTGGCAGAGGAAAGACGCCATGCACCTGACTTGTCTTCCCTAGTGTGGGGTGAAACTGCCCCAGCCAAGTGCAATGTGCAAGGCAGGGTTTGGTTTGGGGGATTTCTGATAAGTAGTGTTACCTTCTGTGCTATAGTCATGAGATACACATTTTCTCTGTTCCCTTACTGAGAAAGCTGAATGCCAGAGCCTGTGCAGTCAGGTTCTTAGGGCATAGAAACAGGATTGGGTTTCTTCTGAAGAACTTTTTGCTTTGCCCCTCTAGCTATGGGACATTCAGCAGCAGAAACGTCTCCGAAACATGACCAGCCATTGTGCCCGTGTGGGAACCCTCAGCTGGAACAGCTACATCCTCTCCAGGTAAAGCAGTGGGTCAAGGGCAGTTTCCAGTTGTTGCAAACTCCTATCCCTCAATCTATGTGTGGTGTGGGTTAGGGATGGCAGAGAGAAGTTTCTGTCCTGGCTTGGGATTCTTACTCAGCCTTATCTGTTGGGACTGTGAGGAGAAGGCCTCTTTCCTGTATTGCACTTTGTGCTGAAGTTGTAAAGAGCTTGTGTGGGTGTTTCACTCACACCAACAGACCAGTGTTGCTGGTAATGCTGGTTGAAACCCAGCGGCAGGTATAACAGTCTTGCAACAACAAAAATGGATTTGGGTGAAAATGTGTCAGTCTGACCCTGCAAGCCTTCTCTTCTCTCTGCAGTGGCGCACGGACTGGGCACATCCATCACCATGATGTCCGAGTGGCTGAGCACCATGTGGCCACCCTTGCTGGCCACACACAGGAGGTGTGCGGACTCAAATGGTCTCTAGATGGCCGCTACCTGGCCAGTGGTGGCAATGACAATCTGGTGAACGTCTGGCCATGCACCCAAGGAGGGGGTGGAGACTTTGCTCCTGTACAGACCTTCACTCAGCACCAGGGTGCTGTCAAGGTGAGCACAGGGCTGCCACGGACAGATATATGTGTGCAAGGCAGACATGTAGCACTGGCTGGGTGCAGGTTGCCTCTTGTATTTCTTAAAATGAACTCTTCTCTCTCAGGCTGTGGCGTGGTGCCCATGGCAGATGAATGTTCTAGCCACTGGAGGTGGCACTAGTGACAGACATATCCGCATCTGGAACGTGTGTTCTGGTGCCTGCCTCAGTGCTGTCGATGCCCATTCCCAGGTGAGAGATGAACATCAGCTTGGGACAAACACCTTCTGGCAGCATGCCTACACAGAGCTGCTGGCTCCTCAGGCCCAGAGGCATGGGGAAGGAGGGGATCATGCTCACCTCCAAATGGTGAGCATCAACACAAGCAGCTTGTTTTACCTGTGTTACTGCCTCTTTTCAGGTCTGTTCTATCCTGTGGTCAACAAACTACAAGGAGTTCATTTCAGGCCATGGCTTTGCACAGAATC